GTTAAAAACTGCAAGTCCAATTGCTTTGATATTACATATATAGGTACTACATGTGTGTGGACCTCCCTCAGATTTGTTCATTTTGTAATGATATCTTTAATTCTCTAATTTTGGTGAATATTTTTGGTATAAAGTGATATTTTCGACTTCTTGTTAAAAACCACATTTATGGTGAAAAATGATATTTTTGAGTTCTTGTTGAAAACAGCAAGTCCCATTGCATTGATACTATGCATATTGTTCATTTTCTAATGATATCTTCTGTTTTTTAATTGAAATGTGCATTGCTAACAGCGGAGCTATCTCAGCCAAGAGGCTGCTTTTTTTTTAATTTGAGTGTATATTTATTGATTTCTTTATCAATTTTGGAACAAATAGGCATAATTTTTTCCTGCCTACAGCTTTTGATCATATTTTTTTTTCAAAATTATGTTATATTTTGTGAAAAATAGCAAAAAGTGGCTTTAAAGCATTCATGTGTTAAAATGTCAACTCAATAAAAGATGTGACTCTACCTCCTATTGTGAGCTGTGCTACACCAGTATCCACAGCATATTGATTGGATCCGGTACAAATATACGTCCCGGTATCCTCAGGTCTGATATTACGAATTGTCAGTCTACCCATAAAATCATCAGCATTAGGAGGAAGATTATCACCTTTTTTGGTCCAAGCTAATATGTATGACACCTTAAAAGACATTTTGAAATAAATACATTATTACTACAGTACCAATCTACAGATAGTACAACTGAGAACAAAATAGTGTGTTGATAACTGAGTCAATCTTCAGATAATACAACTGAGGACAAAATGGAGTGTTGATTACCGAATCAATCTTCAAATAATACAACTGAGGACAAAATGGTGTGTTGATTACTTAATCAATCTTCAGGTAATACAACTAAGAACAAAATGGTGTGTTGATTACTGAATCAATCTTCAGATAATACAACTGAGAACAAAGTAGTGTGTTGATTACTGAATCAATCTTCAGATAATACAACTAAGAACAAAATAGTGTGTTGATTACTGAATCAATCTTCAGATAATACAACTGAGGACAAAGTAGTGTGTTGATTACTAAATCACTCTTCAGATAATACAACTGAGGACAAAATAGTGTTGATTACTGACAAGTCAGTGCTTTCTAATTTCACACTCCTCACAGAACGGTTATTCAAATTGATAGCAAGGGTTTGAAGGATATACAACAAATA